ATTTAAATTTAACAAATTTAACTCACATCACAACTCAGATGCACAAAAATAATGACTTTCTTTCTCTTTCTCCCTTCCTTCCTTTCATTTTTTTCCCTCAAATTCTTTGTCACTAGTTGGCATATGGGTCTGTAGAGAATTCATTACATATTCAGTCTGGTTCAAGACAGTCCAGCCTAATAATTTAGTCAGGCCCCTTTAAAATCACATTCAGTTTATCTTGGTTTCAACAGCTGGCCTCTCAGTCACCTTTCTCCCTCTTATTTTTACTTAAGACATCCAGATGTATGAAGTTGTGTGTGGCTTGTGACATACTGTAACACTTTTGGAAGACAGTTTCCTTGAGTCCATGTGGACTTAACATGTGCCCAAGGATCAGGCAGGTAAGAAATCTGGAGTCCTCACATAACAACCAAGGGTGGCTGAAAGCCCCCCTCTGCCTGACTATACCATGTTACCGAGTGCGTTCTGGTTCCGGAGATTCTTCAAGGCAACCTTCTTTCAGAGCCTGAAAGTGGAAGTGTGACAAGACTGGGGCAGGACAAATCTTCTGCCTTCAACATTGCTCCCAGTGGAGCAGTGATGCCAAGTTCATTTCATATTTTCATATGTAGGAGAGAGATGAATATTTGTGTACATCGGAAGTTGAATTCTATTATTAATCTTATTACATCAAGTGCCAGAAAATCAACCTCTGGCAAATCAGGATCTATCTCCCTCCCACCTCCTTAGATCCAGGAGATAAATGCAGTGACAGATGAGCAGGGAAGAGCTAGTCTTTGGTACTGTTAGATAACTAAGCTGACATTGTCACATTCCTCTTCCAACATGCTCTGCGTCATTGTTCTTTAGAGGTCTATCCTTACATGTTTTCACCTGCTGTCTCTCCATGCTTGCCTACATAGCTGTCAAGGTTCTGGAAGCCCTTGCAGGCTTCCCCAGCTTTGGTGGGGTGGGTACAAATCCTGGGAATATGATTCAGCTCCATTTGCAGGGGTACACCAGCCTGCCAGAGGTTTCCACTTCTTCTGTGCCACCTGTGTGCTCAGGGGATTTTGTGTCTTCTTCCAATATATCTTGTTTTAGATCCCCCAAACTCTTTGGGGGTGGTAGAATAACCTTTCATCCTGGACACAATGGCATTGGGGAGTATACGACACGGGGGCTCTCCTCCAGGAACCACCAGAGTGTCTTGCTTCCCTCCCACTTTCCTCTCTCCATACTCTCTAGGGAAGAGGTAATTCCAGTTCTATTTCTGAGGCATAAACTTTCCTTGAGTCCTTGGTTCTGGCTTTTGAAACTTGAAGTTCAGTCTCTTGCAGGTCTCAGCCTTTGCATTTACGTCTCAAAGTCTGTCCTCTGATGGTCTGCACCATCATTTTTTCCTTTAGGTAGTGCATACTATTAATAAATGAAGTGAAAGGTAAAAGGTTAATGAAAATGATAAGATGATATGAATCTTAGTTATTTTCTCAAATTCTCATCTTGCCATTCGGAATTGGGTTCAGATGTTGTGCTGGAACAACTAAGTAAAAGCTATGACTGTGGGCAAGTTATTTATTGTTTCTGAACCTCTGTTTTCCCTTCTGTAAAATGCAGGACTGTGAGGATTACTAAGATGTATTTCTCTCTGTCTTTTGCTACTGCCATTCTAGGGTGGTCTAGATAAGTGTTCCTAATATTCCTTTTGAGGCTTTAAAAGAACTAAGAGAAATCCTGTGTAAACATACAGTTGTCCCATACTCTGTTACTCCTTCCTTCACTCCTAAACTCTATATAAATCTGGTAACTGTTTCTTTCTCCGGCACAGATTGGATGGGTAAAATGGAATAAGTTGAAAACCAGAGAATTCTGAAAATGTCTCATGGCAAAATAAAGGATAGAAAAAAATGTATGTAAGAATCTGGCACCAAGGGTGCCTGGGTGGCTCAGTCGTTAAGTGCCTGCCTTCTGCTCTCAGGTCATGGTCCTGGAGTCCCAGGAGACAGTCCTGCATCCGGCTCCCTGCTCAGCGGGAAGCCTGCTTCTCCCTCTTCCACTCCCCCTGCTTGTGTTCCCTCTCTTGCTGTCTCTCTCACTGTCAAATAAATAAAATCTTAAAAAAAAAAGAGAGAGAATCTGGCACCAAAAACTAAGTGTTCAGTAAATCGCCATTATTCACTCAGTCATCAATAGAAGTTCAGGGTAAGCCAATATATTGGAAGTTGTTTCTACAGTACTTGGTAATTCTATTAATTCTATAGTTAACAATAGGACAATTTATTCCAAGTGTTTCATTTCTCTGTAAAAAAATTTAGCAAGAGTAATTTGGACTACATTTCAAACTTGCCTCCTTCTTTTTGTATGACTTACAATACAAACCAAACCTCTTTTCTGTATCTTGGTGAATTGTCATACTTGTTTCTAAGTTTGAATCTGTCTCCAACATTTTATCCATTGCATTTTCAGGGTCATTCATGGCAGCCACTTTTCTCATCTGTGTCGATAAGTTTGCATTCACTAACTGGCTACATATTTAGAATCTCTCGAATCTAGATGGTGTTAACACTGATAGGTAGGGCTAACATTTCCAAGTCAGCTCTTTCTTCTATAATCCCATTTACATTTGTTTCAAATACTGCAAAGTTATTTGTAAAGCGAGTTAAAAGATTTTTTTAAAGTTTTTATTTTAATTCCAGTTAGTTAACATACAGTGTTATATTAGTTTCAGGTGTACAATATAGTGATTCAACACTTCCATACATCACCCAGTGCTCACCACAACAAGTACACTCCTTAATCCCCATCACCTAACCAATAGAATTTAGATAAGGCTTTGCTCTGGGCAATAAAATGTGGAGCGTATAATAATTTAATAATTTTAAAGGACTGAAAAAAATTAAAGTCTCTCCGTCAGGAAATTTCTCTTCCCCTTTTTCCTGCACACCACACCCATCCTTAATCTCCAAGTAGAGGTAGAGATAGACAAAGTGGGAGACTACAGGTCAAGCATAAGAATAACATTGCACGTGAAGAATATTTTTCCCCCCGTCTTCATATACTCTCCCCCTACCCTCCACCTCTGCATGTTCTACTTAATACATTCTGCCTACTAATTTCTAAGATCCTTGTAGAAAAAAATTACAAAAGTGTTTGCTGTAGAAAAAGTAGTTTCTTAGTAAAGCAATTTCATTTTTTAAGGCTGACTGCCTGATGATGAAACAAGGTTAGCAGGTAGGAGTCCCAACATTTTACCTCACTGAATTCTTTTAGTAAGGTATCAAGGCATAAAGAGCTCTGAACACAGTCAAGGAGTGCTGAGGAAGGAGTGCACCTCTGCCCCTTGCTTAGGCTTCTAAAGGAGCCAGTCCCACACCATCTGCATGTTCTCTTTCTCACTCCTTGACTTATTCCATATTTCTGCTGCTGCTTTTTCTGTTTTTAAGCTAGGGTCGAAGAGGACATACCAGGGGAGATGTTTAATGGATCACCTGTGACCCAGACTTGAAGGGTATGAAGCCAGTCAGGCTCCTACCAGGGGTAGAGCCTTACATCTTATTTTAGTACATTGACTTATTCTGAGTTTACCATGTGCCCTTTAAATAACTGGCCTTGGACTCAGATGGTTTGTTGTACCTGGTAGTTCAACTGCTGTGTTTACTAGCAATTAAAAACAAATGGCTTGAAAATAAGTATGTCCTATTCATATCTGATGAGATACGTGTTTCCAACAGAAACTGGTAGGTCCCAGGCCCAGCTTTTTGGACAGATTATCCCGATTTTATTTGATTGGCAATGATTGGCAGTTGAAGAGTAGAGCAAGAGATTTGAACTACCAATACCAATGTCTCTTTCCCACTCTCCCTATTTCTAACTGCACATAGTATATCTTTTAGTGATGAGGAGAGCTTTGAGGACAGTCCTCCATGAGTGCCAATGAAATGAAAAAGTCCTTGAGAAAGTTTTGCCTTTAAGAGCTCAGAGATTTTGGGGGCTGCAAAAAGCCCCTTCCCATTCCCTCAACTGATAGGCTGCTGCTTTAGATTCCCTTTTTTCTTTATACAGTGTTGTTCTGTGCATCAGGCCACTGTGCTTCAGAAGCAGCTCTGCCAGAGCCTGTACAATGCTTGTCAGCCACTCCCATCTATTCCTGGGTTAACATCTTTTACACTGAAAACTCTTCAACACAGTTGGTTAGGTGTCTGCCTTCCGCTCAGGTCATGATCCCAGACTCCTGGGATCGAGGCCCGCAACGGGCTCCCTACTCAGCGGGGAGCCTGCTTCTCCCTCTGCCTGCCGCTCCCCCTGCTTGTGCTTTTTCTCTCTCAGATAAATTAAAAAATAATAAATAAAACTAGATATCCAGAGGAGAATAAGGCTCCAGTCATTTGTCCAGTGGTCAAGTCTTGATGGGGCACACGTCTCATCTCAGGGTTTTCAATGTTTAGTGTGTGTATCTCATTCACCTGAGAGCTCTAAGAAATCCTGACTCCATCCTCAGGTGGGTCTGGTGAGGGAAATTTTCCTAAAGCTTCCTAGGCGATTCTGTGTGCCATTTGGATTGGTAACTAGTGGCTGATAGTCTTTTTTTTCTTTTTTGAAGGTAGAATCGCTCTGTTTTATTCACTGCTGTATCAACGCAAACTTTGGCACAAAGCAGACACTGAGTACTTATTTTTTGAATGAACCCCATCTTACAGATAAGGCAACTGAGGCTCAGAGAAGTTTAGATCGCACAGATGGCAACGCTGGTCATTTTTCCAATACCACATCTTACCACTTTACCAGGAAGTGTTCAGGTTGCTTTCTGTCACAGGTTGGATTACTGAGGCTGCGGTGCTGATATCTGAAGGTTAAAATTTGCTCTGTGCGAGTCAAGCCCAACCCGCCTTGAGCTGGCAATTCTGCTGAGGGAATCCGCTTTTGCAGAGTTAACCCCAGGTCCCGCCCGCCTGGGTGGGGCCAGGGCTTGGAGTGCGGGTCAGGAGCAGCTGGGTCGCCGGCCGCCTCGCGCCTCTGCGCCTGCGCACGGCGCCGAGGTACGGGGTCGGGCTCAGAAATGGCGGCCTCCATGTTCTACAGCCGGTTATTGGCCACAGCCGCCCTTAGGAGCCGCGGGTCCCGGCCGGCGCTGCGGGCCGCCGCCCAGGTATTGCGGCCCAGCCCGCTCTCGCTTCGAGGGTCGGCAGGAGAAAGGGCGAGGTGGGAGACCTGGCTCCTGTGGGCGAGGTTTGCGGGGATGTGAGGCCCGGCTCGGGGTCATTTCGCAATAGGTGACATTGGGTGACATGGGGGTGCCCAGTCGGGCCCGCGGGCGCTCGCCCTGGGGTGCTGCCCGCTGTGACTGCGAGCGGGCCCATGTTTGCGTCGCTCTGCTCTGGTCCTCAGCCCGCGAGGAGCCCGGCCATCCGGCTGCGGCTGCTCTCTGTTTCTGAGGGGCGGCGGGGAGGCGGGTGAGGGGGCCCGGGCAGTTTGTGCTGCTTTTTCCGCACCCCGCGCGGTGGGCAGAGGCATCCGTGGCCCTTCTTTGGGGAGGGGGAAGATGCCCTTCAGATGTACTTTTATGTCCCTTGGGAGCTGTCATAGGTGGGAATGTTTTCACAGGACCAGCTTGCTGACCGGCCTCTCTTGTGACGAGGCAGGGAAGTTTCCCACCTCCTGCCCCGTGTAGTTGTTTTCTGTTTGTCAGTTTACCAGCTGGGGAAGTAAGACAGTTACCTTTTGGATCACTTCATTTCTGGGTAGAGTATAGCATAATAATCACCAGTTTTTGTTTGTCTGTTTTAATTTTTGTTTTGGAGTGTTTACCGTGTGCCAGGTACTGAGCCAGGCATTTTACTTGTAGTTTCTTGTTAGGCTTTCCAGCAGCACTGTAAGGGCGTCATTAATATCCTCCTCATTGATGAAGAAACTGGCTTAGAGAGCGAGTAATTTGGGCTCCGGCACAAAGCAGGTAGGGTTAAAGCTAAGGCTTAATTCCAGAACTGTCTGGCTCCAAAGCCTGTGTGTTTGAGTCCGCTCTTCAATTTTTTCCAGAAGACTTGGCCTGTTCTTTCCAGCGTCGACACCAAGAAACTTGTGAAAGGGCATGATAGGCTTCTTAAGTCAATTCCAGAGGTTTAGATTATGTTCTGAAATTAACTCCTTAGACATGATAAAAATGAATTGATTTAAACTTTTTTTTTCTTTATTCTCTAAACCTGGAGGCAGTGAATTACATGAGTATGCTTCTTAATAGGAGAAGTGATTTTTTTTTTTGGTCTTGAACTTCCTTCTTAGGAGTCTTAAAGAGTGCTGTCTTTCCTTCCTAGGAAACTTGTTCAAGGTCACACAGTGAGTTTAGCAAAAACTCTTAAACATTTTGTTTAGTTCTATGACCCTCCTAGTTTCTCTCTGTCTTTTGTCCAGTGTATATCTGATAAAATAGTTCAGGTTGTGAGCAGATGAACTAATTTTAAATATTTTCTCAGTTGTGAATCACATTCCCCAGTAACTACATTTTCCCACTTTTGAATTAATATGATTTAAATTAGGTGAATGATTAAATGGGTGGTGGTATAGGGATTTGGCAAGGAATTGGTGGCCTTTTGGCAGTAGGAATCTTCTAAGTGATAATGTGGAGAAAGACAAAGACTTCAATGTGGGAATCCTTGTGATTCTTCAGGAATATTTTTTACCAGGGTAACTAAAAAAACTGATATTTCAAGTCATAACTTCTAGAGGTGCAAGGAAAGGATTATCAACACTTCAGATATTAAAAAACCTTTAAGGAGGTATAAAAGCAGCATTACCTTATGAGTACTACTATTCTTTGTGAATATAGATATTTGAAAGAAACTGTAAAAATATACTCAGAGCTTTGTGTCATTGGTTTACCCTGAACTTTTTTGGGAAAAATTTCAAACTGATAGAATGTTCCAGCAATAGTACAGTGAGGACATATATTGCTTTCACCTATATTTAACATTTTGCCACATTTTCTTTATCTTTAAAAAATTACATTCATTTGCATATATATGTTTATATATGTATGTAAAATTACATTCATTTATTTTTGCTCAACCATTTAAGGGTAGGTGGCAGGTATTGGCACTTTATCCCTACATAATATTTTACCACACGCCTTTTAAACATAAGGACATTCTCCTAAATAACCACAACATAGTTATCATATTTAGGAAATTTGTAATTATCATACTTTGGAAATTTAGATTTAGATTTCCCCAGTTGTTCTCAAATGTCCTTTATAGATAGTAGTTTATTTATTGATTTTTTTCAAAGATTTATTTATTTATTTGTGAGAGAGCACCTGTGAGTGGGGGGAGGAGCAGGTGGAGAGGGAGAGGGGAAGGGGTCTTCCAGCTGAGCCTGGAGCCTGCTGGGGGCTCCATCTCACCATGAGATCCTGACCTGAGCTGAAGCCAAGAACCGGGTGCTTAACTGACTGAGCTACTCAGGAGCCCCAAGTTTTTTTATTTTCAGACTGGGATCAGGCCTCCGTAGTATTTTTTCTAGTCTTTCCCCTAATTAGGTGCTGCGTAATGACTCTGAATGCTCTTATTTGTGTTGTAGGTGTTCATTTACATGCTCATTTACATTAAATGAATTCTGTGGCTGAAACCAAGTTGGTTTTATCCTTTTAGCATCCCTAGCACAGTGTCTGGTATATAGGCATTCAAAAAATGTTTGAGTGTATAACTATTTTTACCAAGCTCTGCTAGGTATTCCCCTTCCCCCCTTATTTTTATTGTTATTTTGAGGTATAATTTATATAAAGTGTACAACTTTGGGTAGCTAGATTAATTTTTATGTATGTATACATTTGTGTAGCCACCATTCAGATCAAGATACGTAATACTTTCAGCCCTCAGAAGCACCCATATCCTCTCTCCTTATTAGTACTCCCCAACAGAAGGTAACCACTAATTCTGGCTGACTTCTATCACTAATTTTGACTGGTTTTGAACTATATAAAAAGTATGTATTCTTGTGTTTGGTTTCTTTTCCTCAAAATTATGTTTTGAGATTAATCCATTGAGCAACAGGTATTTTTAAAAAATTGCTCTGTAATATCCTGGTATATGAATATGCCATATTTTATTCTGTTGATGGGAGATTGGGTCATTTTCACTTTTTATTTATTATGAATAAGCCTGTTATGCATATTCTTATATATATATGCCTTTTGGTAGACGAAGCACTCATTTCTGTTCAGTATATACCCAGGAATGGGATTTCAGAAAGTAGATGTGTACTGAATGGTTTGGGATATTGCTGGTTTTTAATATTGAAGTGACACTAAATCAGGGAGTTGAGTTACTCTGGGGAAATGTTCTTCAGGATTTTAGCTTACCAGATGAATCAAATAAGTTGTTACTAGGTGTGACTGACTTTTTAGACTTGTGTTTCTCAAACTGTAGGGTGCTTAAGAATCAGGTGAATGACTTGTTATGAATGCAGATTTCCTGAGGCCCATTCCAGAGATTCTGATTTTGTAAATGAGAGTGGGGCCCCAGAATCTGCATTTTTAGACACATCCCAGGTAATTTTGATGCAGATGGCTCATGAACCCCCTTCAAGAAAGACTGTTTAATAAAGCAATAGTTGATAGTCCAGCACTGCACATTTCTAACCCTCTTAACTGTCTGTAACATGGACTATTAGTAAATGGTTTCCAATATTTTATATTAAAAAGAAATAGACTGTATATATGATCCCTTTAAATTCAATTCTTATGCTATTGTGTGTTTCATATGAGCTGTGTTTCAGTATTCTGCATTCCTGTATAGAGAATGGAAATGTATGGCTAATACTTAAATGTGTAATTTCAGTTCGTTCTTCCAGGGCTTTCATCGCACTTAATTTGTTCTACATATTGTATAAAGTTGATAGGATTGAGGAATTTGGATGATATTTGCGGGCTATGAAATAGAGAGTTTCATTGAAGAAGTCAACTGGAAAGTGGTATCTGGATCAACACCTGTGGGGGAGTGAAGGAAGGAGGATTGAGTAGAGGGAGAAGTAGAAATGTGGTACAGTTGCAGTAGGAACCTTTGCCTTTCCTGTGGGATATCTGGAACTAAGATGGTCCTTCAGAATTATCCCAAATTGGGGTGAAGTGCTAGGACTTTATATCCTTACCTTAACCCCCGCTGACCAGTCATTGGATGCAGGCTGACAATGGGAAGGTGTGACTTGGGCAAAGAAGCCAATGAGAGGACTCAGCTGAGAGCTGTCAGTAGCCAGCACTCCCAGCAGCTGGGCTATGAAAGGGGAATCTGAGTAGCACACCACAGTGATCACTACAGATGAAACCAGGGTTTTGAGTCTTGTGTGTATGAAAGAGTAATAACTATCACTCAACTAGGTACCACATATCTAATGCCAAGCTATTTGTTTGGTGCTGGAAGAATGATGGAGAGAAGAAAGTTGGGAAGGATTTTTGGTTTGTTGGAAAAGATGAGGTTGGTTTTAGATCTGCTGAATTTGGCATTGAGGTAGAAATGCTCTGTAGGTCATTAGGGATATGGTAGTGGAGTCAAATAAAAGATAAGACCAGACATAATGAGAAAATAGTTGAAACTACAAGGGTAACATTTGGTATTTAGCTGGTAGGTTAGCTCTTAGGTTATAATTTAGGTACTCTGAATATTATTCTTTGATGATTTAATGTAACGGTTTTATTATAGTTATGAAGAACCAAGTACTGTATATAAAAAAGTATTTTGGGAAGGTGTTTTTAATAAGTTCCAAATTACTGTCATATATAATATGTCCCCAATTTCTTTAGGTTCTGGGAAGTTCTGGATTTTTTAACAACCATGGACTCCAAATACAGCAGCAGCAAAAAAGGAGTCTCTCACTACATGAATACATGAGTATGGAATTGTTGCAAGAAGCTGGTGTCTCCATTCCCAAAGGACATGTGGCAAAATCACCAGATGAAGCTTATGCAGTTGCCAAAAAATTAGGTACTAACTTAAGAAAAACTTAAGCCACTTTGACATGGGCACTTCTGATAAGATGTGAACTTTACTTATAGTTTATAACAGCTTATAGGTTTTATTTTATTTTTTAAAAAATGAATTTTATTTATTTAAAAGAGAAGGTGGAACTTTGTTGACATTCTAAAATTATTATGAGATTATTATGAGCTCCCATAGAGCTAGTAACTTAAGAACCAATTATATTGGAATTAGGAAGCCTTTAAAGTCCTGTTTTTAGTCGGAATATAATTATGGGGAAGGAAGATCTGTTTAATATTCTGAAGCTTAAAAGACTGGTGTCTGTGATGATTCTTCAAGGAAGTAATGAAGAAAATCTTAGCTGTTTATGTGGTTGTAAAGAGGTCTAATATTCCTCCCCCGACTTTTTTTGACAGGAAAAGTATGGAACCAAGGTGGTGGGAGGGAGGGGAGAAGCTGAGCCCTAGACTGTAAGCTCCATGAGAGCAGGGTTTCTTTGTCTTATTTTGTCCAGTGATACCTCCTAAACTCTTAGAAGAATACCTGGCACTTAGGTAATCAGTAACTATTGATATTTGTTAAATGAATTAAGTACTTGCTCATGTTTATTAGTAGATTCTTTTATTGATAACAGAAAACTTAATAGCTTTTGTTAATTTATGTTAATCTCTTATTTAAAAAATATTGACTTTAGAAGATATCCTTCACTTTACATTTTTAATGATTTAATATGAGGCCATAATAATGAGTAATTTACTAGCTATACACTGCATTTTATTTTTAGCAGTATTTAAAATCCCACCAATTTTATGTAGATTAGCACAGTCTGTTGTATGTATACTTGATTAATAAGGCTTTGAATGTGCTTTGGGAAAGACTTTGCTTTTATTAGTATTTTAAGAAGGCAGTGGAGCATTTAAAAATGTTTAAAATTTTTAAAGTTTTACTCTCATTTTGTATTTGTTTCTAGAATGAGTTTTTCTTTTAAAAGTAAGGGCATGTACAAGTTCAGAAATATGTCATATAAGTTATGTTTTTGAATGAGATGACTTGGAAGCATGATTTTTCATTGACAGTTTAATTTTTTGTTAGAAAAAAATCCTTTTTATTCAGATTATAAGCAAACTTCTTTTTATTCATTGAAAGCCTTGTGTAAATTGATACTAATTTTGGTGAAATTTTTGTTAATTAATGGTGACCTGTAGCTTGAACTTGTGCATGGTAAAATATGTGCCTCATTTTTATCTTCAAAACACTGTATATTAGAGGCTCTTAAAGGTCAAGTTTAAAGAAAACTTGTGATTGCACTTTGTATTTCTGTAGTATTTCTTGTAAAGGCTACTTTTTAATAACTCTTCCCTTGAGATTTGATCTTATTTATATGACCTAAACTTTAATTTCTTTTTTATAATTTTTTTTTTTTTTAAGATTTTATTTATTTGACAGAGAGAGAGATAGCGAGAGCAGGAACAGAAGCAGGGGGAGTGGGAGAGGGAGAAGCAGGCTTCCCGTGGAGCAGGGAGCCCGATGTGGGACTTGATCCCAGGACCCTGGGACCATGACCTGAGCCGAAGGCAGACTCTTAACGACTGAGCCACCCAGGCGCCCTAAACTTTAATTTCTAAAGAAGAGTCAGCTAAGTAGAAGGGAAAAGTGGAAATGCATTTGAGAAAGTATAAGGTTTTCTTACTGTACTGTTCTGTCCTTAAGAATGAAATTTAGACCCTTGACTTTGTTCCTTTATTTTTGTTAGTCTAATCTCTTGAGTGATGATTTTTTGTTTGTTTACCAATTCTTTCCTTTGTAATAATGCTGAAGCTTAAAATGTTTTTCATGCCAGTGTTAGTAAGGCCTGATTTATATTTAATGAAGTTGGTAAAAATTATTTTTTTCTATTTCCAAATTATAATTGTTTTTTCTGTATTTTCTATATATTTACTCATTTAGTCAAAATTCATTGTTTTGTCAAAAAAAATCTGTAGGAACTCTTTCATAAAACAAATAGGATTTATTTGGATGCCAGTTTCTTGATTTCTTTATTCCTTATAAACTTTAATGATGCTTAAATGATTAAAGGAAGAAAGAATAGTTAACATGTGCAGGGTATACTCTAATTATGAGTATTTCTGGGAAGGCCTCTGGGACCAGGACGTCTATGAAGTAAGGAGCAGGTAGGCAGCTCTGATTTTGAGCCCTTTAGAACAGAAGATATCTTATTCATCTAGAAAGTATGTTTTTGTTAAATAACACTGCAGATGATGATTATAGTATGGAAGTGAGATTAGTGACTAAGGAGGTCTTTTAAATTTAGAGAATCAGAAATGCTACTTTTAAAAGGTATATTTAGTAACTACTATGAAGATGTTGAGGACAGTTTTGTCTTTTGTTGGGAGTCATTAATGTCAGAAGATGTTGATATTTAATGTCAGAAGATGTTGATTATAGGATCTAATTGCACAAGGTATGGTATAAGGTGCCTTAGAAATACACCTGGTTCTGGGCGCCTGGGTGGCTCAGATGGTTAAGCGTCTGCCTTCGGCTCAGGTCATGATCCCAGGGTCCTGGGATCGAGTCCCGCATCGGGCTCCCTGCTCCTTGGGAGCCTGCTTCTCTCTCTCTGTCTCTCATGAATAAATAAATAAACTCTTAAAAAAAAAAAAAAAAAAGAAATACACCTGGTTCTGTCCATCTAGCTAGCAATTCCCAATGCTGATTTTGGCTCCTTTGCTCCTTGAGTTATTGAACAACTCACAAAGTATTAATTCCCATTTATTAAAACTCTTACATCACCAGCTGATATAGTGAGATATAAATGCTTTACAGGTGGGTCAAACCTGCTTCCCCTCAGTTCTGTGAGTTAGCATGGGGACTGGGGCCACTGAGCCTTACAGCTGGTGATGACTCCTGAAATAGCCCTGGCCTCTTTCCCCAGTATTCCCTACAAATTCTATAATTTTCTGTGTATATCATGATGTGAAAAAAGTTGGAAACACTATTCTGGAGGCTAGTTTTGCCTGTTGTGAATAACTGAAGTTAGGGATGGAAGAATGGTTGTGAAGAAATATAGTTTCTTTTCCTTTGTGTGTGTGTGTTTTTTTTAATAGACTGGTTTTCTCATATCCATTTTTAAAAAGATTTATTTATCTTGAGAGAGAGAGATTGAGAGCATGTGCCAGGGGTAGGGGCAGAGAGAGAGAATCTCAAGCAGACTCCCGCTGAGCACAGAGCCTGATCCCAGGACCCTGAGATCATGACCTGAGCGAAAATCAAGAGTCAGACACCTAACCAGCTGAGCCACCCAGCCTCCCCTTCTCATATCCATTTTTATTTTATTTTTTACTTATTTTATTTATATTTTGGGAAAGATATATTTATTTGTTTGTCAGAGAGAGAGAGTGCACGCGAGCGCACACACAGGCAGGGGCAAGAGCAGGCAAAGGGAGAAGCAGGCTCCTCGCTGAGCAAGAGCCAGATGGAGGACTCAGTCCCAGGACTCTGGAATCAACTTGAGCTGAAGGTAAACACTTAACCAACTGAGCCACCCAGGTGTCCCCTCATATCCGTTTTTAATGATAGGTCTTTAGTAGACAGCTCATTAATTTCATGATTCTGTATTGCCAAAAATAGTATCTTTTAGGCTTGGGAAGTTTCTCCCATTTTTGTTTAATTTTCGGAGGAACTATAAAAGCTGTGCTTCATAGAATTTTAAAAGGGAAACCCTAGTACAAGTTCAGATACAAATACATCTTAGTTCCTCTATTACCCTAAATAGAATTGCATCTGTATTGGCTTTCCATGTTTGAAATTATACACAATGTAATCATTTTGCTGCTTGAAAATTGTTCAACCTAGTAAAATTTAGGTCTGTCTTTTTTGCGTATTTTGTTGACCCTTTTTTTTTTTAAGAGTAGACTATAGTTGCCAAATTCTAAATTTCATTAATAATAATACTTATATCTGCTACGTATTTTTTAATTGCTTAAAACATAAACTTATTGTTATGTTTTATGAGGTTAAAAGTTTGAAATGGGTCTTAAGTCCCATCTTTTTTTTTCTTTAATTTTGACTGCCTCCATCCATTTTTCCTATCTCCCACCCCCTGCCTCTGGCAGCCACCAGTCTGTTCTCTGTATCTGTGAGCTTAATTTTTTTGTTTTGTTTTGTTTTCCAATTCCATATATAAGATTCCGTTCATATGGAATATGTCTTTCTCTGGCTTACTTCACTTAGCCCGTAGGTCCATCCATGTTGTGGCAAATGGCAAAATTTCATTCTTTTTTTGTGGCTGAATACACACACACACACACACACACGTACACACACGTGCATATACCATAATTTCTTTACCCATTCATCCATCGATGGATACTTAGGTTGTTTCCGTATCTTGGTTATTGTTAATGTAAATACTGTAAATAGTGCTGCAATAAACATGGGGTACATATGTTTTTTTCAAGTTAGTGTTTTCTTCAGATAAATACCCAGAAGTGGAATTGCTGGATCATATAGTAGTTCTATTTTAATTTTTTTGAGGAACCTCTTTACTCGTTTCCACAGGAGCTGCACCAATTTATATTCCCATCAGGAGTGCATGAGTGTTCCCTTTTCTTCACATCCTCACCAACACTTGTTATTCCTTGTCTTTTTGATAATAGCCATTGTAGCAGGTGTGAGATAATACCTCATTCTGGCTTTGATTTGGATTTCCCTGATGAATAGTGATTTTGAACATATTTTTATATATAGTAGCCATCTGTATATCTTTGGAAAAACGTCTGTTCACATCTTCTGCCTGTTGTTTAATCACATTTCTTTTTCCACAGTTGAGTTCTCTATATGTTTTGGATATTAACTCTTTGTCAGATATATGATTTGCAGGTATTTTCTCCCGTTCAGTAGGTTGCTGTTTTACTTTGTTGATGATTTCCTTTGGTATGCAGACATGTTTTAATTTGATATAGTCTCACTTACTTATTTTTGCTTTTGTTGTATTTACTTTTGGTGTC